AGTATATTTGTAAAAAAGACCCACTCTTTTTAACAGCAATTCACCTTCGAATACACGTAATTAAGCACGCTTAAAACAAAAAAACAGTCCCGATTAAGAAATAAAAAATAGCCGCATAAACTTAAAACAAATGAAAAACAATCAAATAATAAAAACAATCTATATAAGACAAATGAATAACTAACAAAGTAAAAAGAACAAAGAAAGAATAAAGAATACAATAAAAAGCAAGTCCAAAAGTAAAAGAATAAACGTAAAAAATACATTTCTTTATCAAAACAAAAAGAGTGATCATTAAAAGCACGTCCTTTTATAAAATAAATATAAAACAAAAAAAAAGATTAGAAAGTAAGAAAACAAAAGTAAAAGAATAGACTAAGAAACAGTTTTATAAGCTAATTTTTATTCTTTTAAAAGTGTTAAAAGAATAATTTAAAAGTTAATAGTTTTAAGTCTAATGATCACTTTTAAGTTAAGTAATTTACTTTTGCCGTCGTCGGAAAGCTCGTATTCATTAAGGTCTAAGTTATTTAAAAAGCTTGAATCTTCTTCTTTTTCCTCGTCGTTTTTATTAAAAAGAAAAAAGGTTTAATTGCGGCGGTAAAATCTTTTAAAGCGGTTAATTGCAAAAGTGCTTTTAAGCTCAGTTTTATCGGTTTCTTAAAGTTTATAATAGCTCTTATCGTAAGCTTCAAAATGATATAAAGTTTTAGCTATTTGTAGTCTAGCTTAATATTCGCGGATATATCGATACTCCGTTTAACGTCGTAAAAGAGTACTAAGTCTTTTTTTTTAATAAGCTTTGATTTCAAAACCTTAACTCGTTTTTAAATAGCTTTAGCTGCAAATCGATAGCGTTTCTTTTTTAAAATGATCTTATCGATATCTTCGTTCCGAAGTTTTAATTATTTAAACCTTATAATAAGTAAGTTCACGCAAGATCGAACCTTTTGCTATAATAGTAACTCTTAGATTAGCTATCGTGATTTTAAAAGCAGCTTAGCTTTTCGTTTATAATTTAAAAAGAAAAAAGTAACTTTAATAAGTGCGTATATCGATATTCGAATCGTAAAGAGCATTTATTAAATTTGCGAACTTGATCTTTAAATCTTTTATTTATAACTTTCGATAAGCTATTTAAGATATCTTTATGTCTTTTCTTAATCATTCTATTAGCTTTTGAATTCTAACTTAAAATTTAAACCCTTTTGATTTCGTACTTAATAGCGAAAGCTTTAGCAACTGCTTTATTTTCGAGTCTTTTATCGATAATTAGTCTTTCGAATAATCCGTAGCGGTAAACGATATCTTTTTAAAAAAAACTTAATAATAGATTCGACGTTAGCTGATCGAAGTAATCGCTTTTTTAACTATTTAAATAAATCTTCTTTAGCTAGTACGAAGCAAGTTATCTTTTTATCGGTAATAAGTATTCGTAATACGTTTAAGCTAACTTTTAATTATATTTAAATAAGCTAAATCGAATATAAAAAGTTTTCTATTCGTTTAGCTTTGCGTTTTTAACAAAGCTTATAGCTTTAAACGAAAGCCTTGTAGTCTTCGTAGCATTTATTTTAAAAGAAGAGTTTTAATATGCGGTAGTAAGTTGATTCGGCTTTTTTATATCCGGATTCTTAATAAGCGTCGGAAATAACAATATAGCGTCTTTAAGTTCCGTCGATAATTAGCTTGATCGAGTAAGAATTGTTTGCTCGCTTATAAAAGCAATCATCTTTAATTAAATAGTTAAGTGCTTTATTTTTAAATTTTTAAAAGTCGTAAGTCTTGATCGAAAGAAAGCGTTTAAAAGTAGTAAAGAAATAAGCAATAAGCTTAGATTCGAACGAGTAATCGTGCTTTAAAATTCTCTTTTTAGCCCGTAAATTATAATTTACGAGTCGTTTAATTAAGAATACTAAAACAATGCTTAGTTCGTTAATAACTTAATCGTTAATGTTTTGTTTTTTTTTCTATTTGATATTTAAAAGATGCTCTTTTTTTTTTTTAAAAAAAAAGACCGTCCGCTATCGTGTTTTTAATCTTAAAAATATACTTAACTTCGAAGTCTATTAATTTTATTTACGCAATTTAATTCGTAACGAAAGCTTTAAGCAAATCGCTCGTTAATCCGTTAAATTAATTAACTGATACTTTAGCATCGATTTTTAAGATAAAGTAAACTTCGTATAGCTCGCTCTTTATTTTTTTTATAGCTTTTAAAGTACCGCGGCATTTTCGCTTAATAGCATCGTACTTGCTTTTAGCAAGGTTTCAAAGAGTACTCTTAAACTTAGCAAAATATCGCTTTTTGTCGGAGTCTTTTTGTTGCAATACTACTCTTTATCCCTTAAGATTAGCGTCTATTATTAAGTAGATTTTCTTTTCTTTTTTATTATAATCGATCTTAATAAAAGCGAAAGCAAAAAGCAAAGCTTTTTTAAGCAGCCTTATCGCTTCTTATTAAGGTTCTAACTATTCGAATTCGATTCTTTTTTTTATCGTCGCGTAAATTAAAGCAATAATAATAAAAAAAGTTTTAATCTAGATTTTATAATAAACTACGATTTTAATAAAAGCTTAAGCTTTTAATACATCTTCGCATTTAATTTATTTTAATATCTTTTTAATTTTAGCGGTCTAAAAGTAACGTATTTCGTTATCCGTAACGAACTTAACGATATTAAAGCCGAGCATATAATATTAAGACTTCGTTCCGACGGTCGTCTTAGCTCTTTTAAACCTTACGAGCACTTTGTCGATATTTTAAATATATTTTAAGACGAATCGCCGTATCTCGAGCAAAACTTCTTCGTAATTATAAAAAGATCGAGATCCTTTAACTTTTATATTATTTATATAAAGCAAGCAATTATTAAGAATACAGTTTATAAAGATCTTATAAATGATCTTAACGAATTAAGCGATCGAATTAATAGCTTTTATAAATATCCGAGTTATTCGAAGCAATCTGATAAGCGTTTAAATAGCTATTATATCTTTAGACTTAACGTTAAAAAAGAATTGATCGTATTTAAAAAAGAAGTTTAAAAGCGTAGCTATCGTAAGACTAGTGAATTCGTTCGAAAATTAATTTACGTTCGAAGCAATATTAGCGTTTTTAACCGTAATATAATTTATTTTATTTACGGTAATAATCAGCTTATATTTTCTTTTCTTTTTCTTTATTATAATAAATCACTTATTCCGATAAAAGCCTTAATATAATTCGAAAACCTTTTGCTTCAATCGCTTTTTTAATATAATAATAACCATTTCTTATAAAGCTTTCGGTATCGTAAACGTTTTCTTTTATTAAGCTTCGTAAAGCACCGTCTTAATCTTTTAAAGTAGCATAACTTCTTTTCAAATTTAATTAAAATAAATAAAATCTTAAATTATCGCTTCTTTTCGATTCAAAAGTCATTAGTAAAGCAACTCTTTTTCTTTTAAAGTGACTTAAAAGCTAATCGTAAGTGCTTCGAATCGTTTTTTCGTCAATTTTAATCTAACTTTTAAGTTTGAAAACTTATTAATAAAGTATTTTAAAAAAAAGTCTTTTAAGTTTAAAAAGTCTCGCTTTTTTATTTTGCTTAAACTAATCGTCGATTCTTTTAAATATCTTTTTATTAGATATTCTTAAATCTATTAGTTTAACTTTTTCCGCTTTCTTTTTGTACATCGTATTAACTTTTATTATATTCTTTTTTAAAAAGTCTTTATCGTTATCGATAATAAATATAAAATTTTCCGATTTGTCGAGTTTGATTGCAAATATTTTTAATGTTTTTAAATTTAATAAGCTTTGCTTAATATTAAATTAAATTGTTTTTTTAAAATTTTGTTATTTTTATATTAATCTACTTGTAAACTATAGTTTACGAGCGGGATTTCTTTTTAAGCTTCTTTTTAGCTTAACATCTATTTTAGCTCATATGCTAGCTATTAGTTTCTCGAGTTTTCGACCAAATCCGACTTATCTTTTGCGATAATAATCTATCTTTAAGTAGATCGATCGTAGTTTTAAAAAAAGGCTTTTATCGTGCTATTATCGAAATAAGAAAAAGAGAGTTGAGATTCTAAAAAGAAAAGCATGCTTAAGATGACTTTATAATTGCTATTATTGATAATAAAAAAATCGGCGTAATTAATGATCTTGTTAATAATAACCTCGACGTCGTTTATTTACTTATCGAAGTTATAAAGATCTTTAAACATAATAATATAAATTAAAATTCGATCCGTTATAATAAGTAATTTAAATATCTTAAGCACTTCTTTAGTTATTATATTAACCTTAGATCTATTATCGAGTAAAAACTTGCTTTTAATTATACCGTCGATATTAATAAAAACCTTTAAGGTCTTTATCGTTATTTCGAAGTAGTTGCGAGCGATAAGTTATTTGCGAATTTGCGTCGTTAAAAAGTCTAGCTTGCTTTCTTTATTCCGACTTAAACGTTTAATAATTAAAGCATTCATAAGAATAAGCTTATTTTAAAAGACTTCTACGTTTTCTTTAGTATCGAAAACCATTAAAATATAATAGCTTAATAACTTATCGAAGCGAAAGCTAAGTCCGAATAAGTCTTTAATTTAAACTTCGATTTTCGATTTTATAATCGCCGCTATTGCTTTTTCTTAAGCTTTAATAATAACGTAAAGGTTAATGAACTTCTCTCGTTTATAAGTCCTCTTTTTCTTTTTTCTTAGCACTCGTTAAGTGATCTTAACCTTTCTTTTTATATCCTTTATAGCTTCGTCGGCTTTAACTAGTTCAAAAGACTTTTTTTTAATTATATTATCGAATAACTTATCTTTTGAGTTTATCTTTACAGCAAGACCCGATTCTTAAAAGGCACGAACCTTGAGAGTGCCGTAATTCTTTTTATTTTATTATCGAATATTCTTTTTAATCTTAATAAGCTTAGATATTTTTAAAAGCGAGAAAAGCTTTTAAACTTTATTTCTTACGGCAACGTTGATTTCGACCGAAGCAACCTTTATACTAAATAAGTAGCTAAGTGTATTAGTGTTGGATCGCCGGTAGCGATCTCTCGTAATATTCGTAAAATTCGTGACGTCGTCAAAGTACTTGCAATTGCAAAACACTCGGTGGTAAAATACTCAATTGTTGCTTGTTTTTCTGATTGTTCTTGTTGATCTAAGAAAGCTGACTCCTTCTATATAATAGAAAGGAGTCACGTGTACTAGCTAAATACTAGGTTTACAAGCAGGTTGGGGGGTCCCCGGACCTGTGACAAGCTAAGCGAAGCATGCTTAGTGGCCCGTGAACCCTGGTTCACGAGTGAGCTCCCCCCAACTACTATTTACTAGCTAAGGTCGATATAAATGAACCGACACCGGCAAAACTTTCTTTGGCAAACAGTGCTTTGCCAACTATTATATCGACCGAAAAAAAGGAAAGTAGTAATAATAAAAAATTCAAACGCAAAGAACAAAGAAAATCCTTCTTGAAACAGGCCCCCCTTTTCCCTTTGAAAAACCCGTCACTTTGCGAAGTGCTCGCAGTGCTCCCCTCCGTATTAGCAGCCTTGAATAAAACACTCGTACTCGTTCTCAAGGTCGTCGGAATCAGCCTTGCTTGAGGTTTGAGAGGAGTGCTAAGGAGAGTGCTGAAAGGAGTGCTGAAGAGAGTGCTAAGAGGAGTGCTGAGAAGAGTGCTGAGCAAATGGCTCGCTAGAGCTCGCGTAAGCTCTGCTTGCTTTGGCGGAAGGTCGTAAGCTTTCAGTTGCAAAAGCAATTGCTCGGCGAATGTCAACAACTGCGGCGGTAGAAGTGATTGCGGGGTTCATCCGTATAATCGTCGTCTCTAGCACGTTTTTACAAGCTGAATACAGCTTGTCGGCAAGACTCTTATCGTCTCTCAGACCTGGTCGTAGTGAGCCTTAAATGCCCTTAAGCTCCTTAGCGAGCTTCTTAAAGCACTCGCTAAGCGAGGTCCCTGGATTCTCTTTCTTGACTAAATCCAACGAAATTTCCTCCCAGCGGTCGTATTTTGCTTGCCGGCGTTAGTCAGTCTTAAAGTAGTCCCTTACCGCAATAGCGTTTGCCTTGAAAGTAGGTAGCTTAGCCTTGATTACGTAATTGTAATAAAACCCAATTGCCTCCCCTGCTAGCATAATAAGGAAAGCAGCCAAGTAATCGTCAGTTGTCAACCCGTATCGGCACGCGTGGTCGGCAAAAATCTTGAGCCGAGTATTAAAGTCGTTCTTAAGACTTGAATATTTCAATTCCTTAAGAAAACTCCTTGCAAATAAAGCTAACTCTTTCGCCCTCGAGTGTGGGTCCGCCGTTCCGAGCTCAAGAAAATCGTCGTCGTCGTCAAGGTCGCCTAGGGTGCCGTACGTAAAGGGTCGGTTTGGCTCGAGTCCGTCAAGGGGTCCGTATCCTCGTCCAAGGTCCCTTAGCGGCTCATTTCCTTGTCCCTTTGTCGGGCCACCGTGTCCTCCTCCTCTTCCTCCGTGCCCATTCCCTTCGCTTCCCCTTCTATTCCCTCCTTCTGGATCACCGTCCGAGCCGTCAGGGTCGTTAAGGTTGCCAGCAAAAGCCTGCTCCTTTTTCTGCTCGTATCCTTGGGCTCGGCCTTGGCGGTATCCATTGCCCTGGTCCTCCTCTCTCCGAATCTCTTCCTTAAGAATATACCCTCGGTAGGTTTGAAGGTACTGCGTTGCTTCCTCGGGTTGCTGTAGACTAGGAAAAAGATCTCCACGATGTCCTTAGTGAGAGTAAAAATTGCCCGGAACTTCGTCTTGCTGCTTTTCAGCGCATTCTTTAAGTGACAAAATCGGTAGCTAAAGTAGTAAAGGAACGGGAGAAGGAAATGAGTCGCGGGAACTTCGCCTTGATGATTGCCTTGCTGCCTTGAGCTCCTCTTTGTGCCTTATAGCCTCCTCGATGCTCTCCTTACGCTTTTGCGCGTCCCTCGTAATTGTTAAGTTTCGGAAGTCGTTAAGGTCTCGCGCAATTGCCTCTTTTTGGCGTCGAAGCTCTTCGTACTCTTCGCGGAGTGATTAGCGAAGCGAATTTGGAATTGGAGGTAGAGGTGAAAGTGAAGCTTCGTCGATGATTTTGGTAAGACGAATAAGGCCTGATTGATTAAGAAACCTCTCGACCTGCTTCCTTTAAATTTTCGCGACTTCCTCAGTTTGTCGATTTAAGCGAGCGATTGTAATATCGTTCCACCTAGAATCAAATCCTTCGATTAACTGCTCTCGCTGTTCTTCCCAAGTCCATTGGTGCTCCTTCTTTATTTGGATGATTGAGGCTAGTCCATTAGCGTAGCCTCTTTGCCTTAGGAGGCACCAAACTCCTTTAGATATTAAGTGATCCCTTAGTCTAATAAGCAAGGTAAACTTGCTTCCTCGATAGCCGTAAGCTTGTTTGGCGGCCAACGAAAACTCGTCCGCGCTCTATCTAGCAAAAGCGTATCGGAATAAAGACCAAAGCTCGTGGTCTCTTAAACCCTTACTCTTTATGTCCAAGAAGTCTTCGATAATTAATCTAGCCTTTGTATGACTTTCCAGCTTCGAATACGGTAATGAATCGAGGTTAAAACCGAGGTCCGACGCGTCTTCGTCTAGGGCTTCGAAGGTATTCCGAGTGCCTGGGTCGTTCGGTAGCATTAAGGGAGGTTCCGCGGGTTTCGAAAAAGGGTCCGTAGCTCTTGCTGACGTTCCAGAAGCTTCTTGTCTGCCTCGAGGGTCGATTGATTGCATATTGCTCGGCTGAGGCGTAGTATTGTATGCTGTGTGTAGCTGGCGTGGCTCTACAGCGTTGATAGGTTGTATTGCTGTGTGTAGCTAGCGTGGCTCTACAGCGTTGATAGGTTGTATATAAGTGACTTGATTCGGAATCACTCTTCCGTAGAAATGAGGGTAAGGCGGTGGTATAAAAAA